CTCCTGACACTTGTGACAGCGACGGAGCCCACTACCCCTGCCCCTTGACGTCCACCTGTCCGAAGAGGGGCTGTCGAGGTCCACACACTCTGTCTGTTGGGAGACGACGGGGTGAGAGAGGCCTAAACACTCTCTGCCATGAGGCTTCAAATAACCCTCCCTCTCAACCCCACTCCTCTTACCCTTCACCTCCACTTCCTCCCCTCTCAACCCCCACCTCTTACCCCCTTCACCTCCACTCCTCTCCCTCAACCCCCACTCCTCTTATCCCTTCACCTCCACTTCCTCTCAACTCCCCCCACTCTTACCTTCACCTCCACTTCCTCCCCCTCTCAACCCCCACCTCTTTTACCCCCTTCACCTCCACTTCCTCCCTCTCAACCCCCACCTCTTACCCTTCACCTCCACTTCTCCCCACCCCCACTCCTCTTACCCTTCACCTCCACTCCTCCCTCAACCCCCACTCCTCTTACCCCTTCACCTCCACTTCCCTCTCAACTCCCCACTCCTCTTACCCCTTCACCTCCATCTCCTCCCCTCTCCTCCACTCCTACCCCTCTTCACTCCTCCACTTCCCCCTCTCAACCCCCACTCCTCTCTTACCCCCTTCACCTCCACTTCCTCTCTACCTCCACTCTACTCCTCACCTCCACTTCCCTTCTTCTACCCATCCCCTTTGGTGCAGAGAAAGGAGAGTGAAAAGAAGATTAGAGTGTGGGGAAGGAAGTTATAGTTCGGAAATTGAAGAAATTCAGGAGGAGGTAAGAGAGGGCGGCTGACCTGCCAGCATAGTGTGGGTTGTGGCCGGGTTAGTTATTGTCTGTCGGTACAGGCACTAGACATCCTACCCTGTCCCATATATGGGTGTTTTAAGGGCCTTATTTCATATTCCGCTGACCCTACTGGCGGATGCTGGTCTAGGAGGTTGTTTATTGCCTGGCTGTATAGATCGGGGGTGGTAGTGGACTTTGAGATTTGCAACTTTTTGGGAGAACCATGTATGGTTGTTGTCGTTCTGCTGGTGGAGTCTTAAGGAGTTCTGCTCTGATCGTTCTATCTTGCCAGACTCTGCTGGCCATCCTTCCTCTCTCCCTTCCACACCTCCCCTCACAGCGCTATAGACCTAAACAGTATCTCCCCATGAAGCTTCAAACGCACCCCCCGGCCTTCTCACCATCCCCCATCCCCACCTCCCCTCTTCCTCCCTTCCCACCCCTCTCCTCCTCGCCACCCACCGACACCCCGATACCACGAACTCATAAACCCAGACACCCAGAGCCATAAAATTCTATATGATATTTCCGAGTATAAAATATGACGCCAGTTTCCCGCCATTTCTGCCATCAACAACGCTGAAGAAGGACCCTAGAAAGAAGGTCCTAAGGCAGTCCTACACTCAGGTCTAATTTCCACCCTTAATCATATTATGGATAAGGGTGAAAATGGCTGGGGTTTTATAGGTGTTTGAAGACCCCAGACGAGTGGTGAAGTGGACTTTGTTTACTTGTCACGTTACACAACCCGGGTTTATGGGAGAATGAGTTTCTAAATGGCGGGGCTTGTTAAAAAAGGGTTAAGTTGTGTTCTATTTCCCAGTAGGTTAGTATGGGATCCAGATTACTACTAATAAGTACATGGGGAGAATTGGAAAAAATGGGGAAAAGGTAATTATAGGATGAATAGGTAATGAAGTTTATTTAGGGTCAAGGGGTGTTATTGGGGAAAGGGGAGAGGACAAAAGGGGTAAATTGGGTGTATTTTGGGGAAAGTCGAGGCGGTCATTGGTCAGTCCTCACACTGATATGTTTTAGTTTGAAAAGGTAAAATAAATACCATAGCCGTTACAAAGCCGTTACAAAGCCGTTACAAAGCCGTCTCGAAAAAACGACAAATATCCGTCATTCATCCGTCACAAAGCCTTAGCAAAACCACCACAAAGCCGTCACAGACCCGTCCATTAATCCGTCACTAACCCGTCATTTATCCGTCACAAAGCCGTCATAAAGCCGTCATCCGTCAAAAAGCCGTCAATCATCCGTCAAAAAGCCGTCATTCATCCGTCTCAAAGCCGTCACCCTATTCAACACAACTGTCAGCACCTCAGTCAGTATCTTCGTCAAGAGCCGGACTGGGAGTTACACAGCCGGATACAGAGGACAGCCGGCACCTAGGAACAGCCTTTGTGGTGGTGGTGGTGGCTGCCGACAGTTCACCACATCTCAACCAATCCATTATCTGTGTCAATATTCGTCTCTCTCTCTCTCTCTTTCTTCTTTTCTGTTTGTCTCTCTCTCTCTCTCTCTCTCTCTCTCTCTCTCTCTCTCTCTCTCCTATACACACATCTTCCGTGTTATCTCAGTCATTCTTCATCAGTTTATTTATGACTCTCTCTCTCTCACCTCATAGCCACTGGGAAGAAAATGAGTTTCTCCCTCACAAATTAACATATATATAAAAGCGTTTTAGGAACAAGCTTCTACACTTTCCTCCAGCTTATAATTAATACCTAACCAAGACAAACAAAGCCGTCATACTTTTCTCACTTAAAATAAACAATAAACAAGATCAAACTGTT